GGAAGGTGTGGGTTTATTTTCTGAAGAAGAAATCAAAAGTCTTTGATACCTTCAGAAAATAGAAGGCCATGGTGGAAAACGAGACTAGTCTGAAAGTCAAGCGGCTGAGGTCTGACAATGGAGGAGAGTACAGAAACAGAAGATTCAGAGATTTCTGTGCAAACAATGGGATCAAGATGGAGACAACAGTTCCCATGACACCGCAACAGAATGGCGTAACAGAACGCATGAACAGAACTTTGAATGAACGTGCCAGAAGCATGATGATACATGTCGGATTGCCCAAATTTCTATGGGCTGAAGCTATCAACACTGCAGCTTACCTGGTCAACCGTGGGCCCTCAGTTCCTTTAGATGGCAGAATACCAGAGGAAGTTTGGAGCAAGAAATAAATAAATTTTTCACACTTAAGAGTGTTTGGTTGTATTTCTTATGTACACATAGACTCTACTGAAAGAAGTAAACTTAGTGCTAAGTCCAACAAATGTGCCTTTGTTGGTTATGGCGGTGATAAGTTCGGTTATCGGTTTTGGGACTATGAAAATCGAAAGATCATCAGAAGCAGAGAAGTCATTTTCAATGAGAATGTGATGTACAAAGACATATCAACTATAGAATCAAGCAGCTCCAATACCAAAGCTGAAACAAAGGAATTTGCTGAGTTTGAGGAGATTTCTGGAAATGATGTCCAGATCAATCCTGAAGCAGTTCAAGAAGAACCAAGCACACCAGAACTAAGATGCTCCTCCAGAATTCCTAAACCAACCCAGCGGTATTCTCTTTCTTTGCACTACTTGTTGCTGACTGATAATGGTGAACCAGAGTGCTATGATGAAGTAATGCAAGTGGAGGATTCAGTCAAGTGGGAGTCTTCCATGAAAGATGAGATTGACTCGCTTATGTCAAATCAGACATGGGAACTAGCTGAATTACCACTAGGCAAGAAAGCACTCCATAACAAGTGGATTTACAGGATCAAAGAAGAGCATGATGGGAGTAAACACTAAAAAGCAAGATTGGTTGTCAAAGGCTTTCAACAAAAGGAATGTCTTTCAACAAAAGGAATGTATTGACTACAATGAAATTTTCTCTCCAGTCGTAAAACTGTCCACAATTAGATTGGTGTTGAAAATTGTAGCTGCAGATAATTTACATCTTGAGCAGTTAGATGTAAAGACAGCTTTCCTTCATGGTGATTTAGAGGAAGAAATCTATATGAGGCAGCCAGAAGGCTTCGTAGAGGCAGGAAACAAAAACCTGGTATGAGGTTTCTACATCAAGAGGTTCGATAATAGCTTCATTATTTTATTGTTGTACGTTGATGACATGCTCGTTGTAGGCTCAAACATGCAAGAGATTATAAACTTGAAGCAAGAATTGTCAAAGCAGATTACTATGAAGGATCTGGGCGCTGTAAAGCAGATTCTTGGGATGAGGATTAAGAGAGACACAAAGTCAGGGACTTTGATGTTATCACAGGCTGAGTACATCAACAAAGTACTCTCCAAGTTCAACATGCAAGATGTTAAACCAGTAAGTACACCTTTAGGTGTTCATTTTAGACTCTCCAAAGAACAGTCACCAAAGACGGAGGAAGAACGTGCACACATAGTAAAGGTTCCGTACGCCTCAGCAATTGGAAGTCTGATGTATGCCATGATTTGTACCAGACCAGATATTGCTCATGCAGTGGGAACTGTTAGCAGGTACATGAATAATCCAGGCAAGGTACACTGGGAAGCAGTCAAATGGATCCTCAGATATCTGCGGGGTACCACAAACAAAGCACTTTGTTTCAAATATGGAGATACGATACTGACAGGCTATGTAGATGCTGACTTAGCCGAAAATGTTGACATCAGAAGAAGCACTATAGGGTATGTTTATACTCTAGGAGGAACTGCAGTAAGTTGGGTTTCTCAACTACAGAAGATAGTTGCTCTCTCCACAACTAAAGCAGAATATGTCACTGTTACGGAAGCCAGCAAGGAGATGGTTTGGCTCCAAAGTTTCTTGGAAAAGTTAGGCAAGAAACAAGAAAACAATGTCTTGTATTGCGACAGTCAAAGTGCTATCCATCTAGCAAAGAATCTGTCTTTTCATTCCACGATGAAGCAAATACAATTGAGATATCATTTTATCCGATCTCTTCTGGAAGATGGATTTTGAAACTTAAAAAGATTAGTGGAGCTCAAAATCCGGCAGACATGTTGACAAAGACGGTGACTACGGACAAACTGAAGTTGTGTTCAGCTTTAGTTGGCATGCTAGAGTAATAAGACCAGAAATGCTGCTGCATTGATCGAGGTGTGAAGACAGATTAAAATCAGTCTTCAAGTGGGAGATTGTTGAAAATTCAATGTTGAATTTGGTAAGGCAACCGGTTGCTTTGATTTTTTCAAAGCTGACTGCAAATTTGATTTGAAAAGGGGCTGCTAAATGGCATCACATGGGCTGCTAAATTAATTATTATTTTGTAATAGGGATAATTACAAAATTGAGTCATTTCACTTTAGGATATTTTCAAAGATTAGTCCCTAAGTTTCAACTATAAATACCCTAGCTCATTTAGCTTCAAAATCATCCCAAAAATCATTTCTTTCTCCCAATACTAGAGAGCTTTCTTGTGAGTAGTGAGTGTTTTGTAAACACCTGTAAATTTTCTCTCTTAGTAAAAGATTTGCAACAGTCCGGAGACGTAGGCACAATTGGCTGAACTCCGTTATCAATTTTGGGTATTATTTTTCCGTTTTTATTTCGCATTCGCACTAATCTGGTTATAAGGAAATTACTTGTACTCGGTTTATTTCCCAACACCATTCACACCTTAAACTAGGTAGAGATTCCTTTTCAAAAGTACGAAAATAATTTTTTATTCGCCAGGTAAAAATGGTACATACAACTTTCAAAGTGTTTGGACAACCTACTTCATCATTTTGTTGCAAAAGAAATTGAAGTATTTATTCCTTCGTCCACTCACTTAACAGAAATATGTTAAATCCAAGTCGTGCTCAAGACTTGGTTTACATTCACTATAATCTTCATATTTTATCAAAGAATTCTAATCATTGTTAACCTTAATGAATATTAACGATATTCTTTGTCTTTTAAAATTTTAAAATTTATTTTATATTTATTATGCACTTGTCGTACTTGTAACCTATAATTTTAGAAAGTGTCGTTTTTTATTTCCGCATTTATCTTCATATCTAACATGTATCAATATATGTGTAACATATCATTTAGCTCTCTACATTTAGGCATATTGTAATTTTGATTCATTCTTTTATTTTTATTAAAAATCCAGTTAAAATTATTAAAAAAATAATTAACAGAAAAAATGAAACTTGATATTGATATTGATAATAAAAATGATAAGTATAATAATTAATAATCGTGTATACAATTGATTATAAAAATAAATCAATTACACATAAATTGATTGAAGTTTGTTGGGACTATGAGAATGATTTGCTTGTTTTGTTGGAAACTTATAAAATGATTTTTGGTGCTATGATCATTTCTTCTCCTTCAAGTTTGATTTGCTTTTTTCATTCCAACACGGCACCTTAAATGGAAGAAAGAAATGCTGAATCAAGGGGTTCAACATTTTCGGCTAAATATTTTTGAATAATGCACTGAGAAAAAAATTAGTTCGAATAAGGTTTAGTTAAATTATTTGTTTGAATAAGGTGAATGAAATACCAATGGGAAACACATGGTGGTCCATGCAATATATATAAGAGTTTCTTAAATTTAGGGTTTTTTTTAACTTATGGACATTATAAGTTGTTCGAACCATGCCATGTTACCTTAATCAAGTTGCTCGAATCATGCCCCGTTACCGTGATACTACAAGTTGTTCTTCCTGTTACCCCAATAAAGTTGCTCAAATAATACCTTGCTATTAAGTTTCTCGAACCATACCCTATTACCCTGATCAAGTTGCTCGAACCATGCTCTGCTACCCTGACACTACAAGTTGTTAAAGTGTTAGGGTAGCAGGGCATGGTTCGAACAACTTGATCAGGATAACAGGGCATGATTCGGGTACCTTTATCGGGGTAGCAGGAATAACAACTTGTAGTGTCATGGTAGCAATGCATAGTTAGAGCAACTTGGTAACAGAGCATGGTTCAATCAACTTAATCAAGGCAACATGGCATGGTTCGAACAACTTGTAGTGTCCATAAGTATAAAAAAGAATGGGTAACGCATGGAAATCCATGCATTTCCCATCCAAAATTATAAAAATCGCATAGAACACCATATGTTTCTCATTAGTACTGTAGCATTTCCCTATTCAAGTAAATAATTTTAATTCAATCTTATTCGAGTTAATTTTTTCCAGTACATTATTCAAAAAACTTTCCCAACATTTTCGGCAAAATTGTTTTAATAATGTGTTAAAAAAGATTTAGTGTAGAGAAAATTATTTACTCAATTAGAATATTTATTCCAACATTTTCGGCAAAATTGTTTTAATAATGTGTTAAAAAAGAAAATTTAGTGTAGAGAAAATTATTTACTCAATTAGAATATTTATTACAGTATTTAGTGGAAATTGTTTGGATTATACAGTGACTTTGGTAGTCGTTTAAATCACACGACTTCTGGAAATTGTTCGGATCACTCTATGAATTCTGGATATGCATAAAACTTCGAGAAAACGTCTTGCAGTCGATGTAATTTTTTAGTGTCATCGAGTGATCCAAATGTCTTTCAGAAATCGTCACCAAGTACGATAGTAAACATCCTAATTGAAAAAAGAATTCATTACATCCTATATGATAAAAAAATCAACAATAAATATTTAAAAAGATTAATACAATTACAATGATTCTTGGTAATCATTACCAGCTGAAATTTGAGTTTTTGGACCAACTTCAACGAAGCAAGCATTATAGGTTATTTCGCTATGAGCATCAGTCGGTAAGAGGGAGATAATGAAGAGATGAATCTGCAGAAATGTGCATTATACCCTCTCTTGATATCAAATATTCTTTCAAAAGCTGTTGGAGTTCAATACATATAACAATATACTATAAACAAAGGATTTCTTCTAAACAACCAGGTTCCCAGCTTAGATTATATTTATTAACAATCATGCAGCATAACAGTTCCAAACCATGCACATTGAGCCGATCTATTCCCTGTAGTTCATGTCTATTGCTTTTGGACCTAATTCCATGTCATTTTGGTATTGGTTATTGAGATCAAATGACCCCAAGAATCCAGACTTTCTCAATTGACTACCACTTTCCTCTTCAGTAAGCTCTAATATTTTAGCTATCGGCTGCTCAACACATATGCCATCAGAATTGTTAGAGCCACTTCTTTTCTTTCCATTAACTTGATTGCTCGAACCACTAGTCGAACGCTTCTGTTCGGGGTGAATGTCCATTAAGTTAAGTTCCACTAAAGTATTAGATTTCTCGGCACAGATATTATCGTTTTTAGGTGGTTCCTCATCGTCTTTTCTTCCTGAGCTTTCGGAAGATGTCAATGAGCTTTCCATGGAACATATAGCACCTCTCGTTAGATTTCGTTCCGTCTGTTTTAAGCTCGAACCTCCTACTTCTGTCAATTCCGAAAACGAAGAACTTGTGCAGCCGGTGTTAACCATTGAGACGAGTTGAATGAGTTCAGCTTTGGCAAGTTCTACACCGATAGAAGATGAGGTATACCCAACCAGTGTTTCTTGTGCTTTCTTTAAAACTGATTGTAAGTACTTTCCTTGAGCTTCAATTCTTAGGTGTAAATGTCTCTGGACCTGAAATAGAAAAATAGATTGATCGATTCGAGTTGATGCCTCAACTGAAAACCGGCTATTTAGGATTTGGTCAATTGGCCATACCTCAATCTGTTCATGAAGCTTTCTTTGTACTTCCATCTGCACTTGGAGAGCCTGAGCAATCCTCAAGCTTCTGATGAAAAATAAAAGTAGACAGTCAATACCATCTGTTTATTATCATTTCTAAATCCAAAATTTATCAGAAAATAAAGGATCCATGTAAATATTACTCATTCATCTTCTTGTGAGTTACATCACTTGTATCGCTACTCAAATCCCCATTACTGCTCTGCGTCTCTCTGTAATCTGTAGCACAATGAAACAAAAACGATCATATCTTAGCGAAAGTCAATATAATCATATAAATGCAACAAGCAATGAAATCTTAGTCTCACCATCTACTTCATTGCTAAGGCAGATTTCTGTCTGTTGGCTTTTTGCCAGCCTGTATTTCTGCAAGAAGAAAATACAATCGAACCTTGTTCCCTTTGAGATTGTAGTATGGTTATATAATGAAGAGTAATTACCTGTAAATGACTTTTGAGATGGTACAAAGTGAGTCCAGAAATCCCTATGACCCTCATCAGATTCTTTGGGGTTGCTTCTGTCCAGAAATAACACAAAGGAAACATGAGAAAAATTTACCCATAAAAACAGCATGATTAGACAAGATGATGATGATGATGATGATGATGTATTAAGGTTATCTGAAAGTATTAAACTCAACTGTCTGGCCCTCCAAGTTGATTGACAGCTTCAACAAATCTTTGATGAAGCTCTGGAGTCCATTTCAGCCTAGGCTTTGCATCAGTTGACAGAACCAAATTCATGTCTCGATTTTGCAGACCCATGTTTTTTGTTGTGTAAGAGAGACAGGCAGAAGGATGCAGAAAACTGAAACTTTTGATCCCTTTCTCTTTTTCTTTTTTATGAAGGCTATGCTTTCAATTTGAAGCAGCTGTAGTTCTCTTTATAAATCTTGTGAGTTGTTGGGCTGTCCTATGATCTCACTCCGTATCTGGAAACATAGGTGGGGCTGTTTTGGTGAGGGAATATATGCCCATGACCTCTGCCTCTTCCTTCTATCATCTCCAATTTCATTTAAACTTTTTCTTTTAAATTTTCTTCTTTGACTTGGAAGGGGGTGGATGGAGAGAATCTCTGATGCATCAAAAACAGAAAAGAAAGCAACACAGATCAATTTGAGTCTCAAAAGGAGAGAAAAGAGGAAAAGTGCATGGTTTGTTTTTATCTTCACACACACACATCACATTCTTTTCCCTCTACCTTGCTGAGTTTATTGAGGTAACAAAACGAACCCGAATCTGAAAAAGGCTAAACGTAAACCCGAATCCGAATCCGTTTACCACCTCTATGAATAAGTAAGATGAATGATGGATGCCACTATACTAAAAGTACAAGAAACTTTCAAGGAAAGAAACTGTCAATGCCCTTTTCTCTCCGTTGTTTTTATTATCCTTTTTTTTCTCTTAGGGAAGAGTGTGGTCTGACTGGCAGATTCTTTTTGTTCGTTGTATGGATGAAGGAATCAAAGAATCTTGTATTAGATTTTGGGACCCATCTGGCCCCATTTTTCTTACCCTTGAAAAAGTGAAACAAATGAGGCCATCTTAATAGATAAACTTGGGTGCGTGAAAATAACCCCATAGTATATAAATTCTTGAACCAAAAGTACACACAATTCTGTTAAGTTATCCCATTATAGGAGAATCTCAGACCCTTTGTTTTCTTTTATACAGACTGTCATTAGGACAGACAGCTCGACATATATGGTACTCAACTTGAGTTTTTCCAGGTGACTGTACAAAGATGCAACTTCAATGAAATCAAACTAAATTATCATATTCAGTTGTGTTAAACTCGAATCGGACTAATCGTTAAGTGGTGGTGTAAAGCAATACAGCTAGCATAACCCTTGGCACATGTCACACAAGGCCATGAAATCAAACCCTCCCATTTTCCATCTTTTGTTAAATGTAAACACAACGAAATGACAAAAAGCCTCGCATGGTTTACTGGTGCACGCTTTCTCCTAGTATGAAAGCAATCAACAAGGCTCCTTCTGCTAAAAGTCCTATAAAGAAACATGTTCCAAAGGGAATGCTAGCTTTAAATCTGTAATCCATGTACAAACAGACCTCAAAAAATAAAGAGATAAAGGGAAGCCACAATGGCCAACAAGAAATCATAAAAGTCAATTGAATCAGATTATTCTGCAGATTTCTCGGTCTGCGGTCAAGAGTTAAATTACAGGAATCAGAATCCAATGATTGAACTCCAAAGTACTTGCCATCTCAGTGCCATGCATTCAGTTGGTCTGCTAAATTGATAAACCATTTTCCAGGATTCAAAGAAAAAGGAAGATTAGATGCCAAGTGTTATTTTATTAAGACAACCAGAAAAGCAATAGGGCTGTTTCAATTAATTAAAAGAACTACAAGATATATGCCCAAGGTTTCTCTAGGATTGCTTAATGACATGCCTTAATCAATAAAACATCCTCCAACCAGTTGACTAATTACAATTTTATAATCAGTTAGTTGGATACAATTCAGTGAGCATAGAGTGGAAGGTCCACTGACGAGATCGTCACGATCATCATTCTGTTCGATAAAAAATTTAACAAGAAGATCGACATGATGGACCGGCAAGTGGTAGGTCCATATTCACACCAACATGGTTTCTTCCTTGAGTAAGCATCTGCTTCTCTCCTAGAGCTATAATCCATCAGTGGCAAGCTCATAGTTCATATTCGAAGAAAGGAATAAAATTATCGACACGCTTTCATTATATGTGGCCCGAATGTTTGAAAAACAAGAAAAGGGAGAGTTATTGGAGTGCCTTTCTCTTTAATCAGATGAGATACTTGAAACTCCTAACTTGCTTTAATATATTCCATAACTAGTAAAGGAGATTCCGTGATGATGCCAACACGGCCCCTGGTATTTTTAGGACAGTAGCAGAAGGTCCAGTGAATCAAAAGTCATACAAACAAATGTGCCTCATCAATTATTATTCTTTAAGGGGCCCCATCAGAAGAGATTTCATAAATCCAAAAGCAAGCAAGAAGATGAGGTTATGAAAAGAATATGGCCTCAGGAATCTGGAAAAGAGAAACAAAAGGAACTAGTCGCCATCCGACTAAAAAGATAATGGAAATTTCAGCTGAAATATTGTGTCAAGCACAATCAACAAACTGAAAATGACGTTGGCAATATGTCACAGATCAAATTTGTTTCAACATATCATTAGGGTGATTGATTATTTTACTATAAGAAAGTAACCGGCAAGAAACTTCACATGTTCAAATGACAGTTGAATGTTTCTCCAACATATCAATCAGTAAGTAACATCAGTATTCTCGTAAAAAGGAGCCACAAATACAAGAACCGACAATTAAATATTGACAATACACATAAACACTGTTACAGATGCAGCTTCTTGAACTAGGGACCTCTAAGGGGAACAACGCTCCCTTTTACCACCGAGATCCCTTGATGGATTCTGATTTTTTGTTTTTACATATAGAGAAAGATTTAAAGAGACCCTAACTGTAATATCTTCCAAATTTAGCACATTGGACCCTCACAACCTTGTTAAACTAGTGTCACACTATATATCATACAAGTTTCGAATTGTATTCATTCTTACCATTAAAGGATGCAACACGGTCGATCAAGAGTTATGGCAGTTATGAAGGTTAGGAAAGATATATGTCTTAATGGCTAAAGAGATGAACAAATTGATATGTACCACTACAAACATGTAAAATTTACTTCTCTAACACGAAAAAGGCTTGCCGAGGTAAATATACAAAGTTTTCGACCTATCTGGCTTGAAAAGCAGAACATGGCTAGTAAGTGGTAGACATGATTGCTTTCTTCACCAAAGAACATAAATATTGAAATTGCCTCACTAAATTGCTTGAACAGGTAAGGGGGAACATCTTTGTCCAAGAGCCCACAACATGATTGATAGAGACAGTAAAATCATGTAGAAATATTCCTTCAAATAATTCAAAGAAATCATTTCTGATGCAATGGTACATCCAACATCAAGCATACACACTGGGTTGATATGACTTAACCCAGTGCATTAGCTTGGCAAGTAATCAATGTTTGAAGAAAAACTTATGAATTCATTACCTGATATAAGAGAAGAAAAATGAAACTCCTAAATTTGATTCAAGGCATCTAATGACATGTACATCTAACTTTGCATATATTTAGAGAATATTCTCAGTGAGACAACTTCAACACCCACACCTTTATCAACAGCTAATCCATGTTTGAAGAAAATTATGCTAAGTTCATATTCTACAGCTCTGGAGAAAAATATAAACTTGGAAGGTGAACCTGGAAATGAAGTGTATGCATGTTCCAGGATGAATAAATAAACAAGTTAAAATTTTTTAGATAACTTGGGCTGGTTGTCAATGCTTGAAGACGGTTACTTTGCTCAGAATTAGTGAAATTCTGTTTGTCCACTACCATAAAGAGATCATAAATATCAAAGTGGGATATCCTGATCTTTCCATCTCCAAGTTATCTTATGCTATTCGAGCAACCTAGTATAATCAATATGCAGTTTTCAGATTAACCTATTTATTTCAAATTAACAAATTAAGAGTAGCTAACTGTAATAGGCTCAAGGCATCTTGTTTGTTGCAGTGGTATTGCAACCTAATCATTTCTTCTATAGCTTATCAAGCTCGCAAAGCCCCAAAACTTCATAGTCCACAACTGTTATACTAGGAAGCCTTTAACCCCAGAAAGAAAATGGCAAAGAGAAGACAGATCATTTGGTTGGAGAGACAACCCGATGATAAAAATGTGGGGTTTTTTTTTTGTACATTCAAAGCAACGGAAGAAAAAGCAACAGTTTTTTTTTTTTTGGAGATTTACCAGTCAGTCAATGGAACTGAAGAATCGTTGATAAGTTTCAGTGACTTTCAAATTGGTATAAACACAGTGCTAACACATGGAATTTGATAAAAGCAAAGTCTCCTGAAATGAATCCATGGATGCGACCGAACAAGTTATTGTTGGTACAAAATCTTACACCCGTCTTGCCACCATGTCGGTGGTGGTTGTTGTAACCGGTTTTCGTCCGGGCACAAATTTTTTAATTGGCAGGAAAAATAAAATAAACAAATAAATGATTTTGACTTTAAAAAAATATTTTTGGAGTCGCTATTGATCTTTTTGGGTTAGGCAGGTCAAATACCTAAAAACAATATTTTAAAATAGTTTTTAAGAAAACATAGTTTAAAAGATAAACTGATATGCGTATAACCAAAAATTTTTAGTAAAGAAGGGATTTGTGGTCGGTTATGTTTAGGGAAGGATTAGCACCACTATAACGCCCAAAATTGGTACTCATTAATTATAAATTATCTCTATTATTAGAAATTTAAATATTCAAATATACTTAATTTATAATCATGTTATTTCAAATTTATTATTATAATTTTAAGAAAATCTATTAATATAAATAAAATATTTATTTATTTAGAAATATCAGAAAATGACTTCTAGGTGCTTTAAGATAACTCTTTTCTTAATAAAATATAAATAAATATTAATAAAACATTTATTAGAAATAGATTAATATATATAACTTATAAAAGTAAAATATTTATTTATTTAAAAATATCAGAAAATGACTTCCAGTTACTTTAAGACAACACATTTCTTAATATCGAAAAATATAAATAAAATAATAATTTTTTATAAAACATAATAAAGATATAGTTTTTATAATATTTATTTATTTAAAATACCATAATATAACATCTAGTTGCTTTAAGACTTCCATTTTCTTTGTATTAAAAATAAATATTATTTAAACAAATATATATATATATATATATATATATATATATATATATATATATATTTATATGACTAAGAAAATAATAATGAACATAATAATTTAAATATATCAAAAATAATAATAATATTGCAAATAAATAAAATATAAAAGAAAAAAAATATATAAAACTTATGATCAAAATTAATAATTATAACAAATCAGTGATTAAATTATAAAAATATAGAAATTAATGGGCATCATTCTAAATAACATAATACCTAAATATTAACAGTGTAATTTAACATATTTAATTATATGGGATTAAAATAAATATTAATTAAATGATAAGGGACTAAATTGGTTATTTACCCTAAAATATATATAATTAGGTCAGGGACTAAATTGTAATAAATAGCAATTCGAACACCAAATTAAAAGTTCAAAATTTGATTTCAGTGACTAAAATAGAATGCTATAAAACCTGAAGGATCGCGGAAAGGGTTTTACTATGTGTGAAATTACACGGTAGTCCCTCCCCAAAATACGTCGTTTGGGAGAGGATATATAAACCCTTTAACTGGCCGAG